TGGCAGGGGAGGGTGAGGTTGGCCATGAGGAAAAGGTTCTTGAGGCAGAGGGTGGTGGAGCACTGGAACAGGCTCTCCAGGGAGGTGCTCATGGCACCAAGCCTGACAAGATTGCAGCAGCATTTGGCCAAGGCCCTCAGGGACATGGTGTGCATGTTGGGATTGTCCTGTGCAGGGACAGGAGTTGGACTCCATCATCCTTGTGGGTCTCTTCCCACTCAAAGCATCCTATGATTCTATGATCCACAAAAGACTTGACCAACACCTCCAGCACCAACCCACCTGGCAGCTCCCTCCTGCCTCAGTTTCCCCACCCACAGCCCGAGGGGTGCAGTGGGGAGGGTGGGGATGGAGCAGGCAGAGTCAGAGTGACCCTGAACCCCTGTCCGGGAAGAGGGGAAGTGCCCTGGTTCCCACTGTGTCCCTGTCCCCAGTGCTGCCACCCGTGGGTCACCGCTGCCATCTCGTGGTCCTCCCCATGGCAGCAGCGGGGACCCTTAAAAATACACCGAGGGGTTTGGCCGTGCCCCCCAAAACACCCAACTTCTCCCAAAAAAGAAAAAAAGCCAGCGCCGAACACCCTTCCTGTGCAATTCCACACTGCATGGTGCAAACTGGTGCAAACTGGTGCAAATCCAGTGTTGCTTCACCCTCTGTCCCCCACATCAGAAGGACTGTGAGTGTCTCTCCTGCTTTTTGCTAGGACAGAGTTAATCTTCTTCTTTGTAGCTTGAAAGTGCTGTGTTTGGGTTTTGGGGTGGGATTTGGTATGAGAAGGAGGTTGCTCAGGTACAAGGACACCGTGTTTTACCAGTTTGCAAGTGCAAAGGACTGGGAGGGGGGAAGAGGAGTAATTAGCAAACCCCCAAATTGACATTTGGATATTCCAATGAGATATTCCATATTGTATCACGTCATGGTCAGTGTATGAACCAGGGCTGATGGGAAAAGGGGGGGATTCTCTTGGGAATCGCTCAGGTTGGCTCTTCTGGGATTGTTATTTTGGATTCAAGGTTCCTTTTTGCTCCTCTAGGATTATTATCGGTGGGTGGTGAGCAGTTGTACTGTGCACCACTCATATATATAT